TGATGAGTGGTAATTTTACCACTCATTCTAGCCTCTTTTCCTTAGCTTTTATGTCCTTTTAATTATAAAATGAGGTTGTTTATGGTGGTTATTGTTAGATTTTCAGGTACATGATGCTACGAGGTGATTTGAGTTGAATTGAAGCGGAATTGAGCTAAAAAGAGTGAAACAGTGCAAAACTCCCAGTGATTCCGCTTCTGCGGAAGTTTGCTCGCAGACGCGACCCCGTTTCTGCGTAAATACAAACGCTTCTGCGGTTCAAGCATGGATTGAGAAATTCCGCTTCTGCGGAGGACAAAGCGCAGAAGCGATCACGCTTCTGCGAAGAGCGAACAGCTTTTGCGAAATTGGCCGAGAATGGAGAAACCGCTTCTGCGGTTATTGTATCGCTTCAGCGATGTCGCTTCCGCGACTTTGGCATCGCTTCTGCGAAGCTTTGCAGGATTTCTATTTTCGCTTCTGCGATGAGATCTCTGCTTATGCGGAGCCGCACCTGTGATGGTTCTTCCGAAGGTGCGGAAATCGAGCATCAGACCTGGGGCAGATAGGACATTTCATAATTTCTCATCCCAAATCATTTTTATACTCGTCCAAGCAGACATTTTGGCAATCTTTTGGCTTATTTTCAGTCATCATAGACTAGAGAGAACATTTATTGAAGCTAGGGTTTTGCACACACACTTGGGTCTTGAAGATTGAAGCTTGTGGTTAAGATTTTCTTACCCATTTATGTTTATTTCTTCATTTCCTTGCTTTGTATTGAATATTTAAGTGTGTAGTATTTATTTCCAACACTTGAACCTTGTTTATGGAAGTATTCATATTTAAAGTGTGGATTAAATACCTTGTTGTGCTTATGTATTGAATGATTTTTATATATTTATGAAGTTGAGTTATTGTTACTTTAATTATTCTTGTTCTTTAATGTTTCCAAAGGGACTAGCTAACCCTAGGACTCGCCCATTAACTCCGAATTGATTTTGGGAAAGATAATTTGGGGTTGGGAAAGATTAATTAACAAGAACTTGAGGCGTTAACCCTCATTTTATAGATTCTACCTAGGGATAGGATTGAACTACTTGTAGCCATTCCGGGTGTGCTTAATCTTCTAATTGTTTTAGGGATAATTCAATTAGGAAGTCTTTTTAGTCTTCGGAAGAAGCTAATTAAGAATTATTATTCGTGGCTAATTAACATAAACTCGCTCATATTTGTAAAATCGTGAAATACATTGGATCGTTACTTGAGTGTAATTCCCGATTCAACCATACTTGTAGCCATTGATCATTCTACTTGCTTTCTAGGTTAGTTTTCATTTCCACATTTAGGTATAAACATTTTCAAACCAAAATTCTTAGTGTTTGGCATTGCGCGATAAGCGATAATTTTCTTACATGCCTAATCGCCTACACATTGTTCTCTGTGGGATTCGACCCCGACTCATAGTTGGGTAAATTATATTGCATGCGACCGTGTCTATTACTTTTTAGTAGTGGATTTGGACGTCATCACGTATACACTATCCTCCACCATATCCCACTTGTAGAATTATACTGGGACGTTCTTGTTGTTGTTGTTGTTATTGTAATTTTTATTGTACTCTTTATTATTATTATTCAACGTCATTAAATTATATGCTTGATTATTATTTTTATTTTTAAAATGAAATTTAGTTATTATATTGGTAAGTTCACAACATATATATTAGAAAAAAAATATCATGATACTAAAAATTAAAAAATAAAAAACAAAAAGAGAAAATATTGATAATAGAGTTTTGAAATAGGTATTTTAAAAATTCAAGTGAGAAATTAGGGGGAGAACGATAATTGTTCAAACTAGAGGGGGAAGTTCAATTTTTAAAGTAAAATTGGGGGTATAATGATTTTCACCTTTGTCAAATAACATCATGAGTAACTTTTTAGTATTGTAATAAATAAAACTTAATTCTTTTTTTTTTCTTGCAAAAAAAATTATGATGGCAAAATACAAAAACATAATAACAGATTTGTTAATACATATAAATAAGAGAATTCTTTAATTCCTACATGATATATCTCGTGAAGGGCTTTTATTTCCTCATAAAACGGTGAGTAAATGCTAGCGGCAAATGGCTAAAACAATAAGGAGAAGAAATCAAAATTAAAATATCTGGTGTCGGTGAATCTCACAAGAAGACTTATACCAATTATCCACCAACTCAATTCTCTTCTCCTTTCATTTACTCGTTATAGCAAATTCTTGAATATTTTTGGACATTTCTTGAAAAATAACAATGGATGCTTTATGGAATTTGGAAGACAAATGGAAGCTGTCGACTAAAGAATCTATTGCATTCTTAGTTTGCACTTGTTCTTTAGTTATTGGTGTTTGCATAGTTACTGCTTTTATCAAAAGAAGGGCAACAAATAGGAGAAAAGGGTTAGTAAGTCAAGAACCATGCATGGATATAGAATGGTCGGAGCCAAAGTTACTGGGTTTGAGTAGTACTTGTGTGAAGAAGGTGCTGACGAGCTCAGTACGGTGGAGCAGCGCGAGCAAGTGGGAGGAGGAAAGAAGCAAGAGTCATACTGAAAGAGTTTCTCCATTGCTTGTTGCTGAAGGTCAACTTGAAGGCGATTCTTACAGGTGGCAAAGTCATAATTCGGATTCGCCTGTGTGGCAAAGGCCTGTACTTATGGGTGAAAAGTGTCAGACGAAGAGTGTTACTCCATTATCTGTTGTTGGAGGTCAACTTGAAGGTAATTCTTGCCAATGGCATAGCCACAATTCTGATTTGCATGTGTGGCAAAGGTCAATACTTATGGGTGACAAGTGTCAGATGGACAAAGTTTTTCCTTTACCTGTTGCTGGAGGTCAACTTGAAGGCGAGTCTGGCCGATGGCAGAGCCACCGTTCGACTTCGCCTGTGTGGCAAAGACCTATACTTATGGGTGAAAAGTGTATAACGGAGAAAGTTTCGCCGTTGCTTGTTGCTGGAGGTCAACTTGAAGGTGGTTCTGCTAGGTGGCAGAGCCACAATTCAAATTCAGCTGTGTGGCAAAGGCCTATACTTATGGGTGAAAAGTGTATGACGGACAAAGTTTCTCCGTTGTTTCTTTCTGGGGGTCAACTTGAAGGCGAGTCTGGCCGATGGCAGAGCCACGGTTCGATTTCGCCCGTGTGGCAAAGGCCTATACTCATGGGTGAAAAGTGTCAAACGGAGAAAGTTTCGCCATTGCTTGTTACTGGAGGTCAACTTGAAGGCGATTCTGCTAGGTGGCATAGCCACAATTCGATTTCGCCTGTGTGGCAAAGGCCTATACTTATGGGAGAAAAGTGTGAGCTGCCAAGATTTAGTGGGCTCATTCTCTATGATGAAAGAGGAAGGCCAGTGCATCATGTTGACAATGACCAATTCAGCAGTTATCAGGTAAAACATAGAAATTGTTAAAAGACAAATAAATCAAAGATAGAAAATTTTTTAAAACAAGAGTTTAAATTCTATGCCTATATAATCAAATCACTTATTAGAAAATTATCAGTAAATCTCTATCATAAACGATAATAGATAACCTGGTAAAATGATAAGTAACTTGCTATCGCAAGTTAAACACTGATAGTGTAAAAAAATTTGCACTGTCTATGTATATAACTTATATTCGAATTAGTTTCTGATTGTGATATTGTTGATTTTATTATTCGATATATTGTAATTGTACCATGTGTTAAAGAGAAAGCAAGATAGTTTTTTCACTCGCTCACCAACAACGTAATAAGATCTCATGCTACTTTAATTTTCTCTCACTCATTATACAATAGGTTCTTAATGTCTCTCTTTTTGTACAAAGAATAAGTTTCTCTTCTCTAAGAGTTCTTCAGGAAGTTATGTGTTTGATCTTCTTCTTGATTCCTCTTTTTGTAGTCAATCCCCATTTACTACAAAAAAATAAATAATGAAATTAGCTACGAACTTTGATATTCGGCATAAAAAATGTGTATTTATATGCATATCGCCTCGCATTTCACTCATATTTTGTGCGTTTTGTATGTGTAAAGTAATGATTTATTCTAATTCGTGATATATATATATATATATATATATATATATGTGTGTGTGTGTGTGTGTGTGTGTGTGTGTGTGTGTGTGTGTGTGTGTAGTCAATTCAGATAGGGATGCTATTTAAAACAAATTTTCAAGGACAGAAGCTGGATACTTTTATGCAAAGAAGTTGAATTTGGATTACATGAAAATACTAAGGTAGCAAAGAAAAAAAGAGAGACCCGGTTGTGGTCTTTAATGAAATAATGAATGGAGAAATTATGAGAATCAAGATCTAAAGAAAGAATAGGAACATGATAGGATCTGGAGCTAAAGAAAAAGGAACAGAAGTAAAAGCAACACGAACATTCAGACTATAATAGGGAAAATAAACAGAATATATGATAAAAGAAAAGAAAGAAGAATAAACCTGTAGATGGAAAGCAAAATAAGCTTGGAACTTAGATTCAGTATCTTAATCCTAAAGTAAATATACTCTGAATTTTTTAAAACAATTTATTCAGACCTAGCTTTTCCATGTAGACTAAAAAGAACATTTCTGGTAACAAAGTTCTGAATTGATATCTGCTTCCTAATACCAAAAAGATACCTAAAAGTACGAGACTTTGCTCTACTGAACCTTTCGATACTCTATCATTGCATGTTTACAATTTTCAGTTCATCTTACTGAAAAAGTGAAAGAGAATGAAATTTTGAAGAGAAATTGGATGAAATGATTTCATCTGCAAATGCACCCAAGTGATGCACTCTCGTAGATCTGACTTGAGAGAACTTGTCCACCCCAATTAAGTGTAATTACCTTCACTTACATGCTTGTTGTGCACTCTTGATGTGTCTGCATACGTGCTTTGTCTTTTGACGTAAAGCTGCTGGGACCAGCAAGTCACTTTGTTATGGTTGGTACATTCTGAAGCTAATTTCTGCTTTAGATAGCAAATTGCTTGTAACTTTGCTTACCTGGCTCCTGATAATTTATAATACAGGCCTGGAATGCAACTTATGTGCATTGTGAACACGATGGGCGTCTGAAATGGAAATATCCTGGAATGAGTACTGTTGATTTTCTCTTTGAGGTGGTTATAATTTCTTTCATCGTTAGCTCTCAAACTGCAGTTTGATTTGTAGTGTTTATATGCTGAGCTTTTTCCTGTGTATACATTAACAGTAGTAGATAACATCACATAGTAGTGGCTCTGATCACTTTACTACTAGGATAATCTGATTAACAAGTTGGCATTGGTAGGTGGGAGTCGACGGTAGCAATTTGCTTTATCTGCAAGAACACGGAAACAAGAAACTAATTGAAGGTTGCAGAGTCATGTTTAAAGGTTTGATGATCACTTCTTTTTCTCCTTTCTTTGAGCTCATATTCCCTTCTAGGAGTTTCCAGTGGCAAAAAGATCTCTCCTTTCCTTCCCTTTGCTTGCAACGCTCGTCTGTGCCAGCTGGCACTGAGAATTTGAAGATCTATCCCTTGAATTCTATTAGGAAATGTTAGCAAATTCTTTTGCTTTTGTTCTGCAAAAAATGAGGTGGTGATAATATGACTGCCTCCTCAAGTTTTCTTAACCAAGTTTGGTCTGATTGGTACTTTCTCCTGCAGATGGGTCTGACTTGTCTTTGTACTCGGGTAGGATAATAGAGTGTTCCTGGAACGCCCATGAAAATGCTTGGATCTTTGTGCGGATCCAAACAGAGAAATCAAACCCAGATCGTATTAGTGTCTACGAGGAGGTTTGTCTTATAGCAACATCATCCCTCGTTTTAACAGCATTTACAACTATTTTTGACCGATGAAACATCTAATGGACAGGCAAAGCACATCATAGAGGGCAATCTTACAGAGGATATCTTGTTAGATGAGATTGATAAGGTAGCAGGTTTACCTATATACACTGACTGGGTAAAACGACACAGTGGATCTTCTTTTAGAAATGTCTGGAGAAGGCATTGAGGGATTTTCTGCTGTTCTTTTCTTTTTCACCATTGAGGGATTGAGGTGAGAGGCGGAGGAGGTTTTAGTCTAATTCAAAATGACTTTGCAATCATCATTCATCATTCAGGGGGATTCTTCTCATTTACTGATTTTCCAAGTTCAAAGAGTTGATAATTTAGGGCGTATCTTGGTTATGATGGAGGCAAGTGCTGGGCATAAAATTTTCATTTGCTCGGTCAATCAGAGCATCAGAACTCTGGGGAATGTCAAGACAATATAAAAGTAGAGGTCTAGGTGATGTTTGGAAAATTTTCTTGGAAAGTTGGTGCAAAATAGTATCAACTTTTTTCCCTTTTCCTTTTAAACTTATCACTCAAAGTGGAGGCTTTTGTGATTTCATGTACCTACTGTAATATGCAGGAAAAGGATATACTGTACGATGATTGTCGTATGTAGAAGCCGTGATCTTGAAATGAAATATACATGTTTTCTGTGCACGCCATATGATTAGCCTAAGCTTATTCAGATGCCGGGATCTTACTGATAGCAGTAGGGGTGTCAAATGAGTGGGTGGGGCTAAAATTGAGCGTGTCATAAAAGATTACTTGAACTGAAATGGGTTGGGTCAAGATGGACTGAACAATAGTTTGTAAACCAAAACATTTTAGACTACTCAATGTTTGTGTTGCAATAATGGGGTATGATGGACTTTCTGTTGACTGACAAGTGGCTTAGCTTTGCCGGCAGCTCATTTCAAATTCTTTTTATTCCAATTTTGCAGTCAACTTAATACTTGATGGCCTGTTTCAATGCGTTTTCTAGTGGTATTATTAACATCCTTCAGATGTCTAATTACAGAAAAATGAAGAGAAAGCGTAAAGCTAAGATTGAAAGCGAGGGCATTTAATTTTCTTGGTTGAAGTTTCAAAGGTGGTTAGATGACGCATATTCTGAGCAAGTGTTGGCACTCTTCAACGTAGCTAGGAGTAGGGGTGTTCGTCGGTCGGTACGGTACGGTATTTAGACATTTCGGTACGGTATTTAGACATTTCGGTTCGGTATTTTCAGTACTCGGTATCCTAAAATGCTATACCAATACCGTGCCTAATTAAACTCGGTATGGTTGGATTTTTTGCCTTTCGGTTTCGGTTTATTCGGTATGGTAACTTCGGTTTATTCGGTTCTAAAGCAGCTTCGGAACGTTATATTTTGGGGAGAATAACAGCTTAACTGGCCAGGAAAATTAAAATTATAACTAGCCAGTAAAATCAATCTTATGAATGCTACAGCACTGCACAACATATATGAGACTTCTATAAACAAGAGCATAAGATTAAAATAATGTTAACAAACTTCATCAACATATAAGTATGTCTGGTCTAAAGCTCTAACTTGCATCTCCGTAATATACCGGACACCAATAAGCTTCTTAAAACGTGACCAAAATAAGTCTTTCACAAGTGTGGTTTACAAAAACTATTCGGGTAACATCCATTAACCACATTGACAAAAATAGGTGGCGCACATGCTTCAACAAAATAACATGGAACTAGAAACATTCTTCTGAAGCTCTCTGGTAACTGAGGGCTGCAAGGATGACACAATATTTAAAATTAATTCAATATATATTTCGGTACGGTATTGGTAAAAAAAATACCAAATACCATACCTAATAACAACTTTTTTTTTTTAAAATGTAAACCAAATACCATACCAAATACCAAATACCAAATACCAAAAATTTTAATTTTGATATGGTAATTTGGTATTTACCTAATTATGCACGGCCCTAACTAGGAGACCTACGCATGCATGCTCATGCTTTGCAAATAATCTGAAGTTTACTTCAAGCTTGTGCCATTTGTTTTGGTGCACGTACCAACATATACAGGTGTCAGGAGGTTGTTTATTGATAACTGGCAACTTGATGGAGGCAATACTCCTATGCCTAAATTGGTCCATTTAGGGTTTAATTTATATATATTCTAATAGCATCCAATTATTTTAGTTACTAGTGTAATTTAATCGATTATAGCAAGTTATTTAATCGATTTCATGTTACTATATCACTTGTTATTATAAATACCCGTGGTCAGTTTCACCTGAGATATATTGATGGGTTTACAATGCCTTAGCTTTATGTTTTGATGATCTAACAAACTTACTATCAAAGAACCAGATTAGGAACCTGACTCATTTGGTACACAACTCAAATCAACGGATTCCGGCTAATGAAAACTGCTACGACTCCAGAAGATAGAGAATTAACGCAGAGACCTGATACCCTTGTGTTTCCCTGACAGCAGTACGAAGTCAACTGTCTACAGCTGAAAAGCGACTGCTTGCACTGTACGCTGAAACAGTGCAGCGCAGGTTCTACAGTCACTTCTCATTTGACCTACCAAGTGATTACATCACTCAAGTGATGTCATCCATGTTGTATTAACAAAGAGCATTACAACAAAACATTACTTGAACACTTCAGAATCAACTTGAGCATTCAAACACTCCAACCGTTCACTAATCAAGCATTCAATTCTCAAGTGCATCAAGAATAAAGTTTAACACTACTACAGACCAGTTCCTAAATCTAGTATCTTGTTGTCCTTAGTTGAGTTGTAACTTTGTAATTGTTCTTCGCTGTAATTCCTAATTTGCTTATTTGGAAGCGTTGCTTAGGAACCCCCTTGTAAAACCATAAACTCTTAGTGTTTGTGTCGTGACTAGAGTTAGTCATGAGTTGAAGTCTTTGTAATAGGTGTATTGCAAAGTGGCTTGCAATAGGTGTATTACAAGTTAGTGAGGGATTAAGAGTTTAATTTCTAGATTGCATAGGTTGTAATCTAAAAGTTGTTCATAGTGAAGTTGAAATCCTACCAGTGTAGGTCGTGGTTTTTTATCCCCTTGAGCAGGGATTTTTCCACGTAAAAACTCCCTGTCTTATTTACTTACTGTTTTATTAGCTTCTCAGTGGAAACTCATAGAGGACCTGTTCTCTATATTGTTTGGTGGACTCATATATTCTATCAATTGGTATAAGAGTGGGTTCTTTCTATCAGGTTAACACCTAGGAAGGATTCTTATGGCTGCTTCACCAAATTTTGAAGAAGGTCAGTCTACGTATAGACCACCCAGGTTCAATGGGCAATACTATGGGTGGTGGAAGACAAGAATGCATGACTTTATCATGGTAGAAGATTATGAGTTGTGGGATGTTATATATGATGGTCCTTATGTCCCAACGAAGAAGGTCAGAGATCCTCCAGTGACGATGCCAAAGACCAAAAAGGAATACAACGATGCAGACAGGAAAACTGCGGAGAAAAATTTTCGTGCCAAGAAAATTTTGGTGTGTTGTATAGGACCTGATGAATATAACAGGATCTCAGCTTGTCAATCCGCCAAGAAATATGGGAAGCTTTGCAAACAGCACATGAGGGAACCACTCAAGTAAAGCAATCTAAGATTGATATGCGCACCACTGAGTATGAGCTCTTTAGGATGAAAGGCGATGAATCTATTCAAAACATGCACACAAGATTCACTTGCATCATAAATGAGCTACACTCGCTTGGTGAAATCATTCCTAGGAACAAGCTTGTGAGAAAAATTCTCAGTGTTCTGCCTAGTTCGTGGGAGAGTAAAGTGAATGCCATTACTGAGGCAAAGGATCTGTAGGCCCTAACTATAGATGAGCTAGTTGGAAATCTTAAAACTTAAGAAATGGAGAAGAAGAAGGACAGTGAAAGAAGAGAACCAAAGAAGGAAAAGAACCAGGTACTCAAAGTTGAAGGCAATGACTCAAGTGAGGAGGACTGTGACATGGCCTACCTAACCAAAAGATTTCAAAAAATGGTCAGAAGGAATGGAAGGATACCAAAGAGAGGCAGTTCCAGCGGACCAAAGAATTATGACCTTTGTCATAAATGTGGAAAGCCAGGGCACTTTATCAAAGATTGTCTTCTCTTGAAGCACGAACACTTCAAGTACAACCCTGATAAAGCAGCCAAAAGGAACCCGGTTCCTGACAAATGCTTCAAAAGGAAGAATGCCGCTGACAACATTGTGAAGCAAGCTCTTACAGCATGGGGAGATTCCTCAAGTGAGTCTAAAGAAGAAACTAATGCAGGTGATAGTTCCATGATGGCAGTTGAAAGTGAAGGAAATGAATATGATTCAATATTTGCTTTAATGGCTCAATCAGACGATGATGACATGATGAGGTAAATTTCAGGGATGTATAGAGAAGTCTGAAATCCTACTCTCCTAAGAAACTCATGTCATTTGCCAACGTATTAATTGATGCCTATCATAGTCTTGTAGAGGATAAAGATTCCTTGACCTTAGAACTAGGAGAAGCTGAACAAGCTAGAGATGATTTGGTAGTGTGTGTGGTTGATTTGAAGGAAACTATAGATGATCTGGAAAATGAGAAGAAGGTTCTAACTGAGAAAATCACTAGTGTAGAACATGAAAGAGATGATCTGGTGGTAGTAGTAGTTGACTTGAAAGAAACCATTGAGAACTTAAGTAAAGAAAATGATGCCCTAGTGGAGAGAGTGTCTGCTATTGAGCAGGAGAGAGATGACCTCTCAATAGTGATTGTAGTCTTGAGGGAAACTATAGAGGAACTTGGAGCTGTGTGTAGGCCTGGAAATTCTCATAAAGGGAAAGAGGTAGCTAGTGAGGCACACATTAAGCTTGAAAATGAGTTAAATGCTGTGAGAACTAGTTTGTGTGCCGAACTTGAGAAAAATAGGCAGCTCCAAGCAGAACTGGAAAGAGTAAAAAATGATCTTGAGAAGTCCCTTAAGTGGACCTGGTCCTCAGAAGCTATTACTGCCATGTATGTTAATAATAGTGGAAACAGGTAGGGAATAGGGTTTCAAAGGGAGAGAACTCCTTACAACCCCTATAGCAAGTATGTTACTGTACCGGATAATTGGCTGTGTACTCACTGTGGGAACAATAGGCATTTCAAAGACAATTGCCAAGCCAGGGTCCAGTCTCTTCAGAAAAACAAAGTGTTTGCTGAAAAAGTAACTACTGAAAAGGGACCAGGTGCCACCCATAAAAAACGCATGTTACCTGCATGGACTAAAAGAGCTCTTGTTTATCCTCTTGCCTACTACAAGGGACCCAAACTTGCTTGGGTTCCTAAATCTAACTCTTGATTTCCTTGTGCAGGGAATAGTGAAAGGAAGAAGTCAACAATGATTCATGGATAGTGGATGTTCAAAGCACATGACTGGGAACACCATGGACTTTCTTTCACTTAAAAAAAAGCCCTGCAAGGAGGGAGTGTATGCTTTGGCAATGGGAAAAAGGGGTACATTCTTGGAGTTGGAAAAATTGGAAAATCACTCACTCACTCAATTGAGAATGTGTACTACGTCAATGGCCTCAAGTACAGTCTCTTGAGTGTTTCTCAAATATGTGATAAAGGAAACAACATGGAGTTCTCGTCAAAAATATGCACAGTTACTAATCTAGTAACGGGTG